AAATTTGGCAGAGATGTTATACCCTTTTAGCTTTCCTTGCTGTGAATTTATCAGAAAAATTTGTAAGACAAGTTTTTCGCTCAGCCAAAAAACAAGAAAAATGCTAAAAGCGAAAAAACTACCATGACAACCCCTATTTTTTCGATTTTAAAAGTTTCGTCTTGTCAGACTCTACCCGGTCGGAGAATAATAGAAAATTTGACCGAAGGAAAGTTAAGAAAATTGAAATCAAAGTCAAACAGAAGTCAAAAAATGGCGATATTTGAGTAGTTTTAATTTGGGACTGAAAGCCTTGACTTCAGAGGTGACTGTTGTACAGCAGATTTAGGCCCTTGTTTTTTATGTTTCAGTAGCTTTGATTTGAAAAATAGCAAAAACAACGAGAATATTAACTTTCGATTGATGTCACTGGCGCGCGCTTCGTGATCTTGCATAACCACCTTAAGAGCTTTTTTCGGATGACCAATGGGTTGAAAGTCGAATTGGAATAACGGTGAAGGCTCGCTATCCAATTCCTCCGCCAATTCTATCATCTCGTCGTCTGTAACTTCTGGCAACGCATCGTACAGACTTCCGATGTCTACCATATGTGTGTCTAAAATTCCGTAGTCACCAAACTCTACCAATTTCCTTTTTCCCTTATAATTTAACAACATTATATTGTTTACTCATATGTACACGCGCCGGTAAAGTTCGAGAAATTTGAATAACTAATAACACAAACACGGCACGCTTCCAATTCTCAGAGGATGTACTTTCTAAAGCGTCAAAAGAATAAGCCATTCTTCTAGATTTCTATGCATACAAACACTTACGTTATTGTTGTCCATGTCTTTCTCTTCTCACTCTTCTTCTGACTTCTTCTGGCTTCTTCTTCTGGCTTCTAGCAGGAGGAATCAACTTCTGTAATGATGCTAGAAAATCTGCTAGTTATATAGGAAACTATAGCGTCCCCACGTGGGGACGCGGCGTGGGTATATATCCAATAATATTCGAATCTTTTTAACGGTATAATATTATTCACGATATTTTTTCGCGCCATTCGTATCATTGACAGGTATAGTTTTCCCTAACTCACAAATGATTGACAGGAATTGTATTCCCTAACACACCAATAAGTTTGCGTTATTTCTAACGTGTCACTCATGACTCAATGAAAATATAATTTGTATGCCATCTTCTATCGGATCATTCCAAACGTTCATGTCAAAAGTTCAACATTGGTCTCTTTGGAATATTTTTTTATCACTTTGAGATACTTGTGAGTACATAGGTATAACTCCAATTTTCTTTTATTCCAGATATTTATTTACCTTTGTTCTTACACAGATGATGAATACTCCGAGACGATCACATCGCCTACAGAACATACCACCAACCCAGGATGGAGGACCTGTAAACTGCTTTATTTGTTTTATACAAATATGTGTCAACATGGTGGGAGCTACTGCTACACCATGTTGTCAAAACAGGATCCATAAAAGGTGCCTTCGAAACCACGTACGTAATTCTCCCACTTGTGGCCTCTTTGCCGTGCACCGTTCCCTGCTGACCTCCTTCAACGATATGCCCCCCCCCTGCTTCCGTAATCGATGATAATGAAATGAACGACACCCCAAACCAGTGCGACAATGCGCTACCACAAAACTGCGAGGAACTTCGCCTACAAGCCAATGTCGAACTGGAACAATTGCTTCGCCCAGGCGTCTTAGAAGCACGCATTCGCAATGTAAGAATTCTTACATTAAATAATCTTATTTTTTACTTCATCCCCCTAAAAACTAAATCACCCTTCCTTTTTTCCTAGATGTCAGATGATACGCTTTTACAGATGACACATTTTATTCTGGAGCACGGTTTTATGCTTCATTATTTGCACAGATTGTTTAGAGATATAAAATGTACACTAGAGTATAGACCACCCATGCCGCACCAACACATAAAGATAGAAATATATTACCCCTCAGATATGAATCAATATTTTTTAGACTTTCGAAATTATTTCGTGAGTGCTATGGATAGGCATTTGTATACAAACAATTCATTCAGATTCGGGGGTTTTTATTAACTTTCATATCACCTCTTCAAATACATTTGGAGCCTTTTTTTCAAATCTTTGTTCGTTACCCCATTTATATCCATACCATTACTCAATTTCAACACCAATTCTTCCTCTTCACTGACAACTAACTTTCTTTCTCCCTAGATGCGTTCTCTTCCTCAGTGTCCTTCTTTGCAATTTGAGGACTATTTCGAATTATACAATATTTTGTGGCTGGCTTGCTAGGGACTACAGGCCATTCTTACTTCGCGCTCACATTTCCGACTCATATAAATACTCTCTAATACGCACGATCCGTTTTTAGAAATAACATTTAACAAATTCCTTTATTTCTTTTTCCCCATTCCTGTACATCAATATATTTACCTCTGGCCATTTTTCCTCTCACCATATTTTTTCTTTGACAACATCGAATTTGTCTCTGTAGAACGTGCCGTTGTTTATTTTTGTTTTTATCAACTACTCTTTTCCAGATACCACCAGGGGATTTCATTTTAAGTTTATCGCAACAATACGCCTTAGCCATTCCATTAATTTTTCATGCACTAGTGGACCTTAATACAGTACTCTACCTTTATTTTCAAGAATGTTTAAGATCACATTACGTGATAGAAATCACTTTTAATTATACTTTTGAAAAACAATTTTTACAAAATCATTCTATCTTTCCAGACTGTTTTTTATTGTTTATTTTCACATTTACTATACGAATACACTTCCTTTAGGTGTAGATTTTCCATCAACCATGGGTTTTTAGAGCGTAGACAACTCATGCATTTTCACAGTATTACAAACCCACCCATAAACATTCATCTTTTTTGTTTGTAGATTTCACAAGATTCCCTATGCACACTCCTTCTCCACCAAGAATTTGTTCTAGAATCTACAGTTTTCATCTTAGAATCGTTACAGCGTTATCTTTCATTTTTCCACTTGACGAATGTAATTTCTATATAGAATCATTTTTTTCACACCCTTTCGAACAAAATATTGTCTCACACACACAATAGTCATCCGGAACATACTCTTAGAGGTATATGGAATCTTTTTTTCCATATGAATAAAGGCTGATAGTTTCGAAAGAAACTGTTTAGGGCTGCGTCGGTGGGAGTAACGAAATAATTTGGATATATCAACGAAGTTGAAATGGTAAATTGGCCACCGTAATGATTGCAAAAGCTGACGTTTCAAGCGTTAGCTCTTCG